AACCCATCCGTCTTGATGGAATTGTCCCAGACCCTGGTTGAACCTGTTTGTGTTTGTCTCGTTCCAGCTATCAGGGAACCCCAGGGCCCCGAGCTGACCACTGCTCAGGGAGGAAACCCCACGAACTAGGCCTAAGGCTACCTGTTTCTCTGGGCTGCCCCGCTCTAGGCCCCTCATGAGTCAGGCGTCGGCCATCTTGCCCCTTGGCCTGCGCTCCCCCAAACGAAAAGCCCCTCTGGTACCACAGCTGCCAGTGGTCCTGAATCCAGAACACTTTACTGGCTATAGGTATAGTAGCAGCAAGAGAAGTACAGCCACTCCTTTTTCAGCAGATATTTGTTGAGCACTCACTGTTTGCCGGGCCAGGCAGTAGGCTGGGGACGGAATGTGAGTTCAACCCAGTCCTCGTCCCCAAAGCTCACAGATGAGTTGAAAGGAGGAGTATACATGCGATCCATGAAGTGATGAGTTAGGAGAGATGATGGGGCACCCATAAGAGGCATAAAAGGACAGGAAAGCTGCTTGAAGGAAGGGCATCTAAGTCAGGATGGGCAAGGTGAGAAACTCAGCTGGGTGATGAGGACGTGGGGGCAGAAGGTGGAAATGGGAGAGGGGGTTCCAGGCCGAGGATTAGCTGTGCAAAGGCTTGGAGTCGAGGGAAGCCAGTGAGTCCAGAGAACCTCATGGTGCAGCAGGGCCCAGAAGAAGTGGGCAACTAGGTGGGGATGAGACCCTGAAGGGGCTTAGAAGTAGAGAACTATGAGACCCGGGGGCTTTTCCCAAGAGCTGTCTGGTGCCATTGGAAGAATCTCAATCTCTGGAAGAAGCCCTGGGACGTTCAGGCAGACCCTGGCTCTGCACTAGTTCAGCACTCGGAGGTATACAGAGAATGTAAGGCTCAGTCCCTTCAAGCAGCATTGGCGTCAGTGGGCAGATCACACAGACTGTGTTGGGTAACAGCTAAGCTGCACATGATGTGCCCATTGCCCACGGTTGCTAAGATTTGGAGGACACATTTATTAGGTGCCCATTATATTTTGGGGTCTACACTAGGCACCTAACTTTTGACATCTCACTGAGTCCTCAAGGCAACCAATGGAGTGCCTGTTACTACCTCCATTTTACAGATGAAAGACTAAGTCTCAAAGAGTGACTTCACACAGAAGCATATAATCAGGAAGGGCCAGTCCCAGGACAAGAGATCAGCGGGTGTTCTCTCTCCTACTCCATGTTGCCCCCCTGAGTGTGGGACAAGGATGTGGGAAGGGCTTCATGGAGGAGATAAGGTCTGAAGAGGTCCCAGGGTCACCTCTTAGGCTCCGGGGTATGGGCTAAGAGTCTGACATTTAGATTTTAGGAGAGGCATACGGGATGACCAAGGATCTAGGTAAACAGGGAGTGTCTCTGAGGGTTTGCCCATCTGAACCTTGGAGTTGAGTCTTTTGCTTGAGTCTTTTGAGGGAGGCGGCAGCTTTTCTAAGAATAAAATCAGTGAGTAAAGGATATAATCACCAATCCTCTTCAAATTGGTGGATGTTATGCATGCCGTCTCCATGCTATTAATAGGGAATGGTGTTTCCCAGAGATACCTGCTTTGGAAAACTTCTCAAGTGTCTAAGGTTAATAGGCATTGCACATAGTGGGGATGTTGGCTTTTTGAATTGGAGATGAGTAACTGACATGCACCTAAAATGTTTCCAAGGATTTGGAAGGGCCTGGGCCAGGTTGCATAAGGGGGTGGGCGAAGCAAGTATATTTTTCTCGAGAGCTCTTGTACAATGGCACAGTCACTCACATGCTACCGAGGATTCTGTGACCCCTGGAAAGCCCAGAGCTGGGCTAGATGGCTCCACAAACTAGCGTGAAATGGAGCTAGAGGTCCCCTGGGAAGGATATCCCTGGCTGTGCTGACTGACCCTGGATCCCTGGTACTCAGTCAGAGGGTGACAATGCTCATACATCCTGTGGAATCTAGCTCCACCACCATGCTCAGCTGACCTCGGGAACCAAAACCAGTTTCCATGACTAATGGCCACTCAGAACTGAAAGGTGAAGCACAAGCAGTAGGTACACAGGGAGAGCCAATGCCAGAGCAGTTCCAGATTTCCCGAGCTTCTCTATACACATGCTCCCCCTCGTGCGTGCCTGGTGAGAGGGAGCCGGGAAGGAGGGGTCCCCGCTTCTGTAGGTACTGGAGACCCAGGCACGGCCCACCCTTAGCCATGTTACAAAATGAGTTTTCCTCCCGCCCTTTTCCTTGCCTCCCTTCTTCACCCCTCTTCACACACCTCTTCTTCTACCACCCCTTCTGCTGCTCTCCAGCCCCTTCTGCCCTCCCTCGAGGACATCTTTTGGTCACCTTCTGGGATGATGCTCTGTGCTTCCCAAGTCACTCCTCCCCACCCCGTTCCTCCTCCTAGACTCATTTTACCCAGCGCAGCAGGCCCATACTCAGCAACGCCTTCCTCAGTCCAAGTGAATCCATCCCTCCTTGGACAGAGATGTTCAGAAGAGGCACATCACCACACCCTTTCCCCTGGCACTGACCCTCCCATGTCACTGTGGAGATGGGCTTGGTATTCCTCTCGGAAGTCCCTGTCCATGAAGGGCCCCCCTTTCCTTTCCTCTTGTGGTATACACAGCAGAGGTGGAGACCAGATCGTCCTCCTGCCCAGGAGCCAGCCCTTCCTGGTAGAGGTTACTGAGCCATGTCTTGGCTTCCCCATCTCAAGGGCAACATGCACATCCTTCAGTTTGCAGGTCCTGTTTCCATCCCTTGGGTTTTCTGTATCTCCCTTCTGTCTCCCCTCCAAGGTTTCTGGGATGTACTGAACTATGCAGCTCAAGCCCAGAGAAAAGACACCAAGCAGGCCTGATGGGTGCTAAAAGCTTCACTCATCCCTGCTCTGTGCTGTCCACCTGATTCTGATCTCAGCCTGGGGTGATCGGCAGACATGGTCCCCCGCCAAGCCCACCCACTCTCACCCCGACCCATAGCCTCTCCTGCCATGCTTGCCCACTGGCCAGCCCTTCTGGCTCCATGATAGCCCAGCAGCCTGGCCTAAATATCTCCTGGTGGGCTTCGATCCTTGCCCTGTCTTTCCATTTCTGCAGGGTCCAGCTTTCCAGACACTCCACGCACGCGGCATCCTGCAGAGACCCGGATTTGACTCTGACTCTGCTCTTAACTAGTCAGGTGATCCTGCTTGAGTCAGCAGATCTCTTTGAGCCCCACTTTCTTCATGTGTATAATCAGGGTTACAATACCTGCCTGTTCCAAGGACCAAATAAACAAATGGGAAGGTGCTCCGTAAACTATAAAGCCGCCCTTCCCAAACCGTGTCCTGCAGAACTCTTCTCCTAAGGGAGGTGCTGAGAAGCTACTCAGGAAAAAAAAAAAAAAAAAAAGTTTCATGTCAAATATGAGGAAGGCTGTCCTAAACACAGTGAACCCAGTTTCTTGACTCTAGGACGTCTCAGAGCCTTTAATCCGCCAGTGCATGGCAAACCTCCAAGAACTGGGTGCAAAAATAGCTTTGTCTCAAAACCACTTTTTTCAGACTACTTATTAACGTCTTTCAGGTCACTCATTTGCACAGAACAAAGCATATATTAATAATATTCTTCCTACAAATAATAATGCGATTTCCACAAGAGCCATTCCATCATCCAGGTCACTAATCCTGGGTAACACCAGTTAATCAGCGCCTGGAAGAGTATGGCAGGAGCTCCTTCAAGCCCCTGGGCGTTATGCCGTGTACTACGGGGGAGGGGGGCTGGTGCTGAAGGCCCCTGCAGTTGGACTCGCCCTCCCTCCCTCCATCCCCAGGCTGGACTCTACCCCAGGCGGCTCGGTGAGCCCATCGTCCTGTTCTCCATCTTCCGTGTTCCTGCCCCACCCCCACCTTTGCCCCATCTCTCTCCCTGCCAAGGCTACGTCTTCCATCTCTACCAACGCGACTGTAACTCATTCTTCCAGCCCCAGCCAAGTCCCGACTTCTCCATGGAGGTTGTTCTAGCTCTTGCAGTGTGTGTTTGAGACAGGAATACTGGCTCCCAAATTAACCAGAAGTCCCAAAAGGCAGAGAGTGTGATTCACACTTTCAGATTTTCTCCCCAAACCAGGATTTGTTTGATTGCTGCCCTCCACATCCCCCCTATAGACCATAAGCCCTACTTTGGGAACTTGAGCCTCCCAACCAGGTATGGGTCCTTCTGAGCTGGGGAGTCATTGGTGGGTTTTTTCCCATGTTCATTCATTCAGAGGATGCTTCCTGTAGGGAACCCAAGGCTGAGGAAGACAAGGCCCCTGCCTTTAAGGAGCTCTCGGTCAAGACAAACACACAAAACTCATTGCAAATAATCATAGAAATAATGTAGGAGCGCAAAATAGGGTTCTGAGTGTGTGCAGGTAGGGATGGAGGCAGGCTTCCCAGAAGATGGTCCCCCCGCCCCCCACTCAGCCTCCTACTTAGAGGATGTGCTATGGAGCAGACTTGGCAAGGTTAGGGAGGTCTACCACTAGAGAAGAAAGACCACTGGAGACTCTGTGGGAAGGAGATTCGAGTGTGTTCCCTGGGTTACAGGGATGGAGGTCTCGATGGGGGAAGGAGATTCGAGTGTGTTCCCTGGGTCATAGGGCTGGGGGTCTCGATGGAGCTAAAGGGTTAGACTAGGAAGGGCAGTGTGAGATGAGAACTCTGCATCCCACTCTCCCAGACACACACACCCCACCCCCACACAACAGTCTGTGGGAATCCCACTTCCCTGCTTTTCCATCATCCCCTCTCACCTGGACTCATTCTTCCTCTCCAAGTCCTCTGCCACCTCCTGGTCCTGGGGCCATCCATCGTGACCTCATCGGAGCAGCCCTGGGTCTGCTCTCGGTAGCCAGCAGTCTGCTTTGGTGAGAGGCTGGTCAATGTGATGCCCAGTCCCCATGGGGGGCCCTGGGGAGGAAGGTCAGCCTGGAGTCAGTGCTTTCTTTTTTCTTCTCGCAGAAAACCAAAAGAGACGTCAATAACTTTGACCAAGACTTTACCCGGGAAGAGCCAGTACTCACGCTCGTGGACGAAGCAATTGTGAAGCAGATCAACCAGGAGGAATTCAAAGGCTTCTCCTACTTTGGTGAAGACCTGATGGCCTGAGAAGCTGCTCCAGGTGGAGTTTGATGATGCTGCGGGAAGGGGTGCCAAGAAGAGTCCGATTTCTGGAGGCTCCGAAGGCCTTGAACTGCTTCTCCTGTTCTCCAAAGCCCCAGTCCCTCGTCTACCCTCTATTTATTGCATTCCCTTGACCCAGGCCGGGTCCTCCCTCTTCTACCTGGGGACCAGATTGCACTCTTGGTCCCTGTCTCAGCAGTCGTGCCGAATCGCATGGGGTCGGCGGGCAGTGTTTGGTGTGTCGGCAAGCCTGTCTCCCCTCCTCGGGGGTTCCCAGCAGTGACGCAACTTCAGTTCTTTTCCTTCGAAGAGCAACAAGAAGAGCAAACAAGAAGCCCCCGGCTCTGCTGTCAGACAGAGGGTCCCGACAACTGTCACCTCTCATCCTCCCCCTTCCCCCCCACCTGCCATCCTCTGCCCTTCTGTCCAGGAGAGACGGGTGCTTCTCCAGCCTGGGGGTGGGCGCCCTCGGGGCATGCTGTGAAGGAGACAGCCGGCGAGATGCACGGGTGGGCTCCCTGTGTCAGTTTGCTCTGGAATGGCTTATTCGCCTTGCTTTGGTGTTAGCTTTGGGCATGCCAGCGTCGTGAGAGCATGTATCTCGTGGAAGAAATCCCTCTTTGTGGAAAAAGAAATTTGATTTTTGAACTCGATTGACATTTGAAAAATATATTAGCAAGTTGGCTTTCTGATTGGCCAAAAGATATAAATTCCAATATTAATGCAGGGAGCTATTAAAGGGCTAATATACAATGAGAAACCAACCGTCCAAGGTTGATGCTGTTCACACTTTCGTGGCACATGGGGGCTGGATGAATCGAGAGAGAAGGAAACAAGGGGCGCTCCTCATTCTTCAAGCTCTGGCTGAACACAGAGGCCACGTGGCGATGGCTCAGACCCTGAGGTTCTAGTCAAGCTCACTCCCAAATTTTCTTTCCGGTTTTGTTCTAAGTTCCCAGCACACACACTATTTATTTCCTGCGACGGCGTGTTCCTTTTGCGCACTTCTGCGAAAATGGTAGTACTACTGTGTCGTGGTCTTTAGACGTTACACGTGTGAAGTGAAATATGAAATCTCCGCTCTTGAGACGAGCAGAGTGAGGCTAAACGGGGGTTGTGTGCAGGGTGTCCAGAGACGGACGAGCGACTTGTTTGGAAACTGAGAACGTGGCCGATGTGCTTGGAGCTGTGTTTCTGTGTGCCATGCCGGGGCAACTCATGCGGACACGATCTCATGGATGTGATGTTACCTCCTGTAGATATTGCTAACAGTGTTACATTCTTCGATTTCCAAGGGTTCTCTGTGGCTGTGTGTATATGTTTCCCGGAGGTCATTTGATTTATCTATTTTACCGAACTGATTTAGCAGGGAATGGAATCCATTCCAGCTGTTGCACGTGGATTTCCCAGCCGCCCCTAAATATGTATACTTGTGAATGGCAGAGTGGCACTAATGAAGCTTTTTGCCTTTTGTACATTTGAGATTTTTGTATATAGTGTTTGCTGCAAGCCTGTGGATTTAATTCATTGAGTTTAGAGGTATCAACTGCTGCATGTTCAGGCATATTATAAAACTTTAGTCTATGAAAGAATAATTATAATAATGTCCAGGTGCAATACTCTGTAAGCATATTGGTTCAAGTTACCGAGAGATAAGGTGTGTTTCTTTCTTTCTTGAGGGCGGGGAGGAGTCCTTTGTATTGTTTATTTCATTTTGGTTTATTTCAGGAGATGTAAACATGTATTAAGTCTCACAAAGAGTTCTCCTGTGCTCTGTTATGCCCTGATAGAGATGGGGAAGGGAAAGGGATGTTTTTGCTGGTTTCAAAGCTTGGACAGTGACTAGCTCGAGCCCCTAGGAAGTTGGTGTCCATATTCGCATCTGGCCGGTCGCAGCCTTTGTTACTAACGATGACCTTCAGTTCTCTTTTGTTTTTATTTTTTTAAGAACTCAGGTGTAATTATTATCTGTTCTTACGTTAATTTCAAATATTGTACTATATCAATTTGTGTGTTTGGCATACCAGTGAAGTGATGAAGAACAGTAGATTCACTTAATTTATCTTCGGTAACTTGACATACTGGGGAGAGACTCTTCTGGAGTTGGGTACAAGCACAGAAACATCTTCATGGTGGCATCATCTCATTTTTTAAGAAGACATGACAAGACTGCCCGTCATACTCATGCATCACTACTGCTCTGTTTTTCCTCGGCTTCCTTCACCACGATGAACTTGGAGTGACCAAGCAAGCTCTAACTGCAATGCCAAATGGCCTGCACCAAGGCCGCCTCGGTGGTGTTCCCTTCTCAGAAGGGCTTGGGCCCTTCCCACAGGACAACTGGCATTCTTGCTGGAAGGTCAAACAATACATTCCACCCGGCAGCTCCAGGCAGTCATGCGCGGGGTGTCTGGCCCAGAGACGCCCCCTTTCAGCACCAGAGCTGGGCTGGCTGGGACGCCCCCTGCTTGGGGCTGGAGCTGACCAAGTTCTCACACGGGCAGGTTCAAATCCCACGTCGTCTATAGAAAAAAAGCTTGTGTGTTCCTTGAACATTCTTTGTTTCCTTTCAGTTTTCACAAGGGTTAGGAAGCGGACACACGGTTACATTTCTTTCTCATCTATCCAGCTCTTGAGTGAAAAAAAAAAAAAAAAAGCCAAAAAAATACATGAAGGATAGCTGTTCTCCTGTGTTCTCTCATTATGGACTTCGTGAAGTGGAAACATCATTTTTTTCCTCCAAAGGTGAAAAAAATGCATTCTTGCTTTAAAAAAAAAAAAAAAAGCTAAAAAATTACCTCTTTTTAAATTATGTGCAAAATAATTCTGGCTAAATATAAAATGTATTCAATTTTAGGGGTTTTTTTGTATTGTGATGCTTTATTTGTACATTTTTTTTTTCCTTTCTGGATGTAATTTTAATCTCTTGCCATTCATTAGTGTTATTTCATTGTAAACATTATTGTGCCAAATGTACTGTATTCAAAAGGATGTGAATGTGTATTGTTTCAGAACCTAATAAATACAATGGCGTTAAATCTTATTTCTGGGCTCCAGTGAGCATTTCTATCTCCTTTGTGAGGGGCAGGGTCGCTAGAGATTCCAAATTCCAAAACCTAGACATGGTTTCAGCTTTCCCCTGTCCTTTGAAGATGCAGGAAGGATGCACATGGCCATATTGACTCACCCCAGCCTTGCCTCTAAGCTTCTGGGAATACCACCGCGGGGATGGAGGGGGCCTGAGTAGATCAGACGTGGCTCTGGGCGGTCTGGGCGTGGAGCGAAACCGCCCCATCTGCCTGGGAGTGTTGGAAGATGGGCGAGCCAAGCAGGCAGCACCCGCGTTTTTGTCTTTCTAGAGAAGCAAACGCTGAATCTCCCTGAAGCCAATGCCCATTCAAGCCTCATCAGGACTCAGGTTCTGATTGGCCTTTCAGAACGTCAGGTCTTTGGAGTCCAGGAAACTCCTCCTAGACTGGGAGCCCCTTGTAGGCTGGACCTGGAGCACGACTGACCACTGGGGCTCAGAGCGTTAGGTTGTGCCCGCCTCCGCGGCTCGGCCAATGTTCGTGGCCATCATGGTGATTCCTGGGCTCTCTGGTTCCTCCTTCATTCTGGGGCTCCTTTCTCATGTCACACTGCTGGTTCTGCAAGGCTCCTCCTCTTCTTTCTCCAACACAGATTTCTCAAGAATATTTGAAACTCAAAAGTCACTCTTGAGTACACCACAAATTTCAGTTAGCCAAAACTTTGTCTTCCTTAAGAGTTGTGGAAATGATTGCAGGTTTATTATTTGTCATCCTCGGGTGAAGGGATGGTCAACCTGTCATCCTTTCAGCCCTCAAAACCTCTTCCTCATAAGCCCGCCAATGACTGTGGTAGGTCATCCCGAATGTACTCTCAGTCTCCCCTCAGTAATGTCTCCTGCCTGCCTGGGGATGTAGCATGGACCTCCAGACCCCCCCACCCTCAACAGGAAAGCTGTATATATCACATAGTCTCCTCCCTGATTCAGGCAAGTTGTCTTGGTAAGTGACCAAGGAAACACAAACATCTTGTCAGCTTGTCTGTCTCATTAATTTAAATAAAAGTCAGAAGAAATAAAAGGAGCTATTCTAGGAAGGTAAGAAGACATCTCCAAGCATTTCACTGAATGAAATCTGACCAGCCTGTACCTCCCTTGCCTGGTGGCCCAGAAGAGACAGCTCCAAAGTCTGGAAGATGAGGGAACTCATCCTCCCAAATCTATATATTCCACAAACCCCATGGAAGCTATAAGAAAGGTCAATTGCTGATCAGCATCCCTGGTTTGGAACCTCTCTCCCACCCCCAGCCACGTTCCAGGAGAGAGAGCCAGGCACTGGTCGATCTGTTCCAGGAAACCATGGACGTTTGTTCCTGGTGAGGCTTAGATGGTTCCAGAGCTGCTTCAGGGAAGCCTGTTTGGGTGGCTGTGCCCTTGAACTGAAAACCTGCCAGTCTAACAGATTCCTTATGGAATCAATGAGCACATTGCCCCTTCTCCATCTCCTTATACCTGAACCGAGTCCAGCACTTGCGTTAGCAGCAGCCTAAAGATCCCCATGTGATAAGATGACTGAGCCACGTGACATGTGTTGTCATAACTCTTGGGTGGCAGAGATGGAGTGGCAAGAAGGCTTAGACACCATATTACGAAATCTGTTTCTTATTTGAGAGTACTTTAGCCTCGACGATGATACTACACTGAGGGTACGTTGGTTGTAAGCAATACCTGAAGAATGGAACAGCTGTGCCAATCAGGAGTATCTCCTCCAGGGATGGAGAGCTGGTCAAAGAGTGTTTGTTTTTTTCCAGAAGCCTGCTGCAAGTGCTTCTGCTGCCTCTTATCTCCCATCAACACCTGGAGGTTTTGTCACTAGCATAAAGGATTCCAGGAAAATATTTTCTCAAGGAAAATGGTGGCTTGTTAACTAGCATAGAAAATGTTAGAAAGGTGACGTTGGTGATATTTGAGATAGCAGATGGTCAAAGATATTTAAAGACAAATCTCCACATTGAAAAACAAAAAACAATGAAAGAAGTAGCCTTCTACCTCCCTAGCAATCGGGGCAGTGAAAATCTAAATCCGTGCAATCCCACCTCACGCCTGCCAGAATGACTACATAAAAAGGCAGACATTATCAAGTTTTCTTAAGGATATGGAACAGTTGGAACTTTCCGTGTTTCTGGTTTGAGTATAAAATGGTACAACTACTTTGAAAAATGTTTGCTACTAAAAAGGCTACTGAAAGTCTACTAAAGCCAAACAAGCTTGGCTCAACAGAACAGTCTATCAACCATAGAATAAGAAATGCATTGAGGAGTATTTGCAGAATAGGACACTGGAGAGAGCCTGGAATGATTTACAGCTACGAGCAACAACATAGATGAATCTTGCAGCATAATGTTGAGTTTAAGAAGCCAGGCACAAAGGAAGGCAGACTGTATGATTCCATTTGTGTAGACTCGCGAAACAGATCATCTGTGCTACTAGAAATCTAGCAGGCTAGTTGTTGCCTTTGTGGGGAGGGGACGTCGTGACTGGAAGGGGCCACAGAAGAAGGCTTCTAGGATGCTGGGTAAGTTTTGTTTTCTGAGCTGGGAGCTGCCCAACAGCTGTGTTCACTTTGTGATCAGTGACTGAGCTTATGATTGGTGGACTTCTCTCTGTATTATACATCAATAAAAAATTGCCACACACACGCACCCACCCCAGGATCACTTTTGTCTCTTACTCTTGGGGATGGCACAGGTGGGCCCTGTAAGCTGCTCGTGTCCCTCTGCTGTCCTGGTGGAGCCTCAGTCACCTAACTCCCACAGCAGCCTCTCCTGTGGCTGGCCCCAGGTCGCATTTGACCTGGGTGGACCTTTTCTTCAAGGCACTGTTGGAAACACTGAGGTTGACAGAGCTGGAACTACATGGAACTTGCTCAACAGCCACAAGACTCTTCTGTGCGTGCTGGCTAATAAAATGTCTGTGTGTCTCCGAACGTGGTCCGCGGGGACCTTAGGGAGCAGCTAAGCCTCCCCCTCTGGCAGCCACTGAGATCACCAAAAAAGAAGCCCGGGAAATGCATCACCAAAATTGGTTCAGGGAGTCTGTGACGAGAGGTTTGGCTTGCGGGTTTTCCGCTCGGGCAGGCAGCCGTGCCTTTCTAAACCTGTTTCCACATTCATCAAATGGTGATAACAAGACCTACTACCCCAAAGTCCTCTTGTGGAAGGTCAGCGAGATAAAAGGTTCCAAAGCACCGCATCTAGAGTTGTGGCTCTTCTTTCTCTTCCCCAAGGCACTCTGTCCCCGATCAGAGCCCAGCCTGCATCACGGGCAGCGTGGCCTGGTCTGCCGGGGACTGCTTGGCTCTCCTGTCTGCACTGTGCTTTGTTTCCCCTCATCCTCCAGATGGCCTGCCCCTCAGCTCTCCGGGGGCACCTACACACCCCATCCCACCTGTGAAGGACCCTCTTTGGGGCAGGAAGGGAACACGGGTGAAGACAAGGTCTTAGCACTCAGGGAAATTACAACCCACAGAAGATGTGATAGGCCCATGCAGAAGAGCAGCAGAATGCAGACAAGAGAGACAAAGATCAGCCCTGTAGATGATGCCAGGGAAGTCCAGAGAAGGGGGTTAGGTTTGTGCTATCCAGGCAGGCTTCCTGGAGGAGGCCGTGGTGAGAGGGCACTGAAGGAGGACAGGCTGTGGGGGGGGCAAAGGGCAGAGAAGGGCCTTCCGTGTGGCCCCTCAGCTGGTTCAGGTAGTCTGGCAGTAAGCAACCTTGCCGCAAGCCATCTTCACCCCATAACTAATTAGCCATAAGGCGATTTTGCTGTAAAAGAGAAAAATCACGAAAAATAGATGAAACTTTCATTAAAAGGGACATAATAAAACATGAAAAATGAGTAACAACATTAAAAAGACTTTATTGTGAAATTCAAAATATTTGAATACGTTCAAAATGTATAGTGTAGATTATTGGCAACACTGCTCAACTGATTTTACTTCATGGATTGTAGAAAAGCGCATGTCTTCAAAGCCTTTCCATCATAATATTATACTGTGTGTGTGTGTGCGCGTGTGTGCGTGTGCTGATTGATTTGTCTCATTTGGCATCTCGCTTTTTCTTTCTTCGCTGCAATTTCTCCCTTCGCTAAGAGAAGTATGTGTTTCCGAGTACGAGGACGCATCTTTGTAACTGAGCTTTGTGTCGCACTGTGAAGGCCTTCCACGTTGCTGTTTGTTCTTGGCGTGTGGTCGCATGCCCATTGCCAGAAGCTCCGACGATCTGAGGGAAACGTGGGCTCAACACTCGTGCTGCTGTGTAGACCATCATGAGGGTGAAGATGTATAGAATATAGAAATGGGCAAATACAAAAATGGGCACATGGCATCAATGGAGAAATAAAACCAAACCGTCAATCAGTTTTTTGTTTGTTTTTTTTTTATCTTTTACAGCAGAGTTGTCTTATGGCCAACTAGTCATGCGGCAAAAGTGTTTGCAGCAAAGATGTCTATGGCAAAGATGTTTACCGAAATAGCACCAGACCCGAGCTCAGCTTGGAGTAGCACGGAAGGCCTGGGGTGGGGGACCCGGCTTGCAGGGCAGTGGTGCAGCTTCATCTCTCAACATGAGATTGTCAGGGTCACGGGAGTCCTTCAGAGTAGCCTGACCGTCTCTGCAGGTGGGACAGTCTCAGTATCGATAGAGGGCTATCTTTGTGGATGACGGGAGAGATCAGGTCTCACTGCCCTCTCTGATTCTGATCAGATCCAGTAGTTGCTGCCCGAGGACTGAGATCAGGTCAGCCTCAGTTCTAGAACCCAAATGCTGAGTAAACTATTCCAAGCCTTACTGCTTCTCAGGCCCTTCTGCGAGTGGCGAAGTGGCAGCAGGAAGCCGCCCGCTGCTCTCGAGGCTGGGCACCAGCTGCAGAATCTCACCGTTTATGCTTCCTTCTTTGGGTCGTTAATTATTTGTTTCACCTGCATTATCCTTCTTTGTTCCAGACATCGAATTAGGCAC